ATAGCTGATTGCGTCATCTAATAGCACATACAACTGGATATGCCTTGTGTTATTGTAAAAATGACGGCAAATCGTGCACCATATGTCTACGTAAACAATTATCAAATGGATATTTTTCTAGATATAACTAGTGATACACATCGAATCATGTCTGGAAGAACTTGAAAAAATTAAATAAACCAACAAGTTGACGTCTATTTTCTTAAGAGTAGGCATCTGAGATAATCAGGCACTACAAGCCATCGATGATAGAGTAATATTTTAGAATTCACTGATGTTTTGATATTTTATAGAGAATAGTAAGTTTAGTATTCTCTGAAATTTTCAGCTCGATTCTATCACTTTTTTCTATACAAACAATAAAAATACTAGCGAGATTTTTGATAATTTTTAATAGTAGTTTTTCAATATATTTTCATTGATTTTCAGGTAATGTTTTTCAGTAAAAGTGACTTTTCATTTAAATTTTTGTAACTTTTGACTCTTGATTTTTCTAACTATAACTATTGAGGTATTATCCTTTTGAATACAAAAATTCAGAAATTTTCCTCAATCCTATAAGAACATCGGAAATACTATGAAAAAAAAAAGTCTGGTTTGCCAGTTTTTCTGTGTTTTGTTATCAAAACGTCCGTAAAGTATATTTCATGCTGCAACAATCAATCACTTTAATATTTCTGCTGATGTTAAAGCATATAAAGTTCATTTTCTAATAGAAATTTTAGTCTTCCGCTATTGATACAAACATATTTTCAAATATATAAACATAATTTTATGAAAAGACAATTTTAACAGGTTAATGTACATAAATTAATTAACTTTTACGAAAACCGCAGCAACTCTGTCATACAAATTGATGTTTATCATATTTTCTCTAAGTAATTAATCCAAGTTCTTCTAGGGAAAAATTATTATACTGTTAACAAAACTTAACCACTTATTGTCTTTGTCTTTGCTTCGAATCAGACAGATGTTAACGTAGGACACGCAAACGATGTTAACTTTTTTAAATTTATTATCTTATTAACTAATATCAATTAGGTCATTCGTTTTTCATTATTGATTGTTTTTACAAAATCAACAAAAAAAACCATCCTCTTCAGTATGTTTATGTTATCGACTATCAAATAAAACAAGAAATGCATATAAAGAAGAGAAAACATTTTTCGGTATCTTTGTCCAGGGTATGTATGCATAACCATCTGTCCGATAGAGAAGAAGAGAAAAATATACGTGCATTTAATAAGTATATAACACATGTTAATGGCGACCAGTGGCTTTTTTACTTATTATGATCTCTATGGTGGTAAACCTGAAAACTATCATTATCAAGATAATTCGCGATTCTTGACATCCAGAATAGTGACTACAACACATTCTATTGCATTAGTTCCATCAACAACAATACAATCAAGTAATAAATTATATAAACTCGTAGAATTTGTTCCATTTGCTTATGTACATTGGTTTCTTATTGGACTTGCTATTATATTAACGTTATTATTAATCATTATTTTTATTTATTATTGTCGTAGCTATTGTATAAAAAATAATAAATCGCAAAAGTAAATAAAATAAAACATTTTATTTTGTACTAGTTATGAGAATTATTTTTTTCTATTAGTGAAGAAAAACAACCATTACCAACTTTTTATCGATATCGAGCAGCTAATCGATCTTTTCATACATATAATATTTATGAAACAGCAACGCCACGTCCTTTTCCATCTCCTACACGTTCATGTCCATTAAATTCAAAAACACGTCCTAACAATGATCAACTCCTTCGACAAGATCTCGATATTATTGGTTCTCCACCAATCCCATCTAATAATGTAAATCAGACAAGACGATCGAGGTAAATATTAAGGGAATTTCTTTAAATATACATTTGTATTTTTTTTTAATATGTAAAGTACATTCACAGATACAGCATCAGATTTACTCATCGAAATAAAAAATCGATTGAGTACTCGTTCGTCTGAAATTTCATTCAAAACCGACCGATTATGTGAAATACCAGTGAAAGTAGATAAAACTTTATTTTATTTTTTCACATTAAATATATATTTCAATCGATTATTTTTAGCATACAAACATCCCATTAACTGTTGAATTTAAAAATGATTCATTACTTATTGATATGAACTGAAAATTTCTCATTTTATTCTACATTTTTTAACGATACATGCCGACATGATTGGATCTTATTTATGCCATATTTTTAATTTTATTGAAAAACAAAAAAACAAATTAGCTAAACATAAAGAAATTTAGAAAAAAATCAATCATATAAGTTTTTGTTCAATTCGCCATAATTTAACCGTACCATCATCAGAACATGATGCTAATAAACCAGCTTCTTTCGGATTAAATGATAGTCGATTAACATCTTGTGAATGAGCATGGGTATTCGAAGCAATCAATGAAAAACTTGGTAGAGCATCTGTTTGTTTTGTTTCTTCTTCACGAAAAATACGTATACTATTATCACCACAAGCTGTAGCAATCAAACCAGTTAGAGGACACCTTTATATAACATAGCAATAATTTTTTTAAATTAAAAAAGAAAATGAGAAAATTACCATTTAACATCATAAATAGGTTGTTTATGATAGCCACTAATCGTGCATACACACTTCCATACTGGATAAACACCATTTGTTGAACGAATACCTTAATTACGATTTAATAAAAAAGAAGAGTAAATTATTATTATGAATCTTTCTACCTTGTTGATTATTTTTTTCATAAGCTTGCCATATTTTAACTGTTTTATCATCACTACATGAAACAAGTCGTTTTCCCGTAGCATCAAAATCACATGCCCAAACTGTTGATGTATGTGACTCTTATTATGGAAGAAGCAAAAAAAAATAGATTTCAGGTTTGAGATATTATTCTATTCAATAAAATATACCTAAGCTAGATGCACAAGACCAATCATCACTATCTTCAATATATATTTTAATTGTATCATCATAACTACATGAAGCTAAAATCTGACTGAATAAATAGTTTATATTATTAAGGACAATTAAAAACAAATTCTTACATCTTTTTGTGGATGCCATTTTAGATTTTTGACATCTTGTGTATGTGTTGTTAAAACAGCAGCACAAGCAAAATCATTTTCTTCCTCATTATCTGTACAAAAAAAAAGAAAATTATTTCCTGCCTGATGATATTGTTTTATGCAGATTTTCTCTTCGGAAAAGACAAGCATCTATTTTTGAAAGCATAGGCACACTGATTGAATAATATTATTTAGTAAAAAAAAAAAAGCCGTCCACTTACATTCCCAAATCCAAACACTTTTATCTCGACCACAAGTTGCCAAATAAAGTCCACTACGTGAAAAAGCAACATCTTTAACTTCATTCTCATGACCCTCTAATGTTGTTTGTAAGACAAATTCTTGACCTTGTCTTTCCCATATTGATACTTTAGCATCGAAACCACCTGATGCAAGACGATTACCGCAATATGACCAAGCTACAGAACGAATTGATCGCGTATGACTATCGGTCATTGTACTTTTGCATATCCAATTTCGTTCTCCTGAATATAAAAAGAACAAATTATCAATACTAAATTTATCTATTTAGTAAAAGAGATCATTGGTGATTTTTTTTTTGCATAATCATCAATATTTTTTTTCGAATCAATCAAAGCACGAAATTAGCTGTATCTATGATCACCTTCACGTCCCCAAAGTTTGATAATTTTGTCTGAACCACATGAAGCAAGTCTAAAAAATAATTTAAATCATGATTTGTATAACAGACAAATTGAACCATACAATGTGCCTGTTGGATTCCAAGCTACACACCATATTCGATCATCCGATGCTTCAAGTGTTTGCAATTCAATCAGTTCTCCGATCATTTATCTAAGATGTTTGTAGGTATTGTTTTTAATTTTAAAACATTGATACAACATATATAGTTTTATTAATTATCAAGAAAAAAAAACATTACACACAAATATTAAATTGTATTTTTTAAAAAATGACTAATTATCGAACATATTATCATAAAATACTGCCTGAGAATACTTTTAAAGAACAACAGAAAAATGATAACAGAAGAAAAATGTTGATATTTGTGTTTTTCAATAAATGCATAGAAAAATGAAGGAAAATTACAAATATCAGAGCTATATATCTATCATTCACGACAATCAAATGCATGTTGACGACAATCAATCGCAGCAAAGACAAGACCATTTTCGCAAATGCATACAGAATAAGATTGAGAACTACGAGCAACTATTGGTGCTTTAGTACGATCGAAAAAACGTAATTTTTCAAAATAAATATGCTCATTTTGAAGACGAATCTAATTAAACTAAATATAAAACAATATTTACCAATATGTCTTATTTACCGTATGTGCCTTGATAATAATATCATTAGCAACAAAGTCAAGTGTTTGTTTAGCAGATATATCAATATTACTGTTAGATGATAGTATTAATCGACCTTCATCTGCTGATAAACTAAATAAAGACAAATTACAGTGCTATGATCGATTTAACTCTAACCTACCTTAAATTCTTATCTGAAGTAATTGAATTTGTTATTAAATTTGGAAGTTCCCATCGTTTTTTCTCTACAATAAAATACTAAGTATAGAATTTATTTATTAATTCATCATACCAGAAATCATCGATAGATCATCAGTATAAACTTGAATTTGTGATGAATCAATAGAGACAAGTTTCGAACCAGTTCGATCATTTATTTGAAATTGTTCACAATTAGCATGAATTCCATTTTGATCTAAATTTCATCATAGGAAACGAATTCAGTCATTAAAAAGAAATTCTCTTTCGAAAAAATCAAAATTGTTACCAATTGTCAATCTTGAATTTTTGTGTTCTGGTCCACTTTGAATATGCACACTTTTATCCGATTGAATACTTAATGACTATAAAGTAAAAATAAAACAAACGAATATTTAAATCAAATCTTTTTTGTTTTTTTAAATATCATTCTAACTTGATCACCACTAGAAATTTTATTTGCAATAAGTCCATCTTTAAATACAACTGGTGATCGAAATATAACATGGCTTTTAAATATTGAAATAGGTCCAATACTTCCCTATAATATTCATGTAGAAATTACTAAAATCATTATATAAATATAATTATTCAATAAAACAAACCCAATGAAGGCCTAAAGCGATTGATAACCAAAATGTTAAACATACATTAATAACAACAACTAATGTTAAAAAAATTAAAAGACAATATAAACAACGTTTTCTCCATCCATATATTCCAACGGAGATAGTTTTCGTTGTTCTAACATGTTCTCTTTGCATATCATCCATATCCCATCTACAGAAGAAAAAAAAACAGTTACATGTCAAATATATTAAAGTGGCTTGTTTCTTGCTTGAAATCGTCAAAGTCATAGAAAAGAAAAAAAAAATTGAGGCCAATAGTTCAATACAGACAAATAACATGCAATATTAATTGAATATTAAAAAGAGAAAGGCATTAAACCCAGCACGGACATAAATACATACATACATATATATATATAGAATAAATGTACAAGAAAAAAAAAGTGAAATCGACTAATCACAGTAAAGGACAGACCAGACTGAATAGAAATACATCGATAAATCTGAACGAGAGAAATATTGAAAATAAAGTATAGAAAATGAATAGCTCAATTCAAAGAAACGACATACAAGAAGGATTTTATTTTAAATATACAAACATACATTTTCATTTTTTTGCGAATCGGCTAAATCTTTACATATACACATATTTATTTATTTAAACGATCTCTCTCTCTCTTTTAAATTGTTCTACTGTTTTAATAGACATGTTCTCGTTCATTGTTGTTTGTCATTTTGTATTTGTGTTTTCTTTAATGACATACAACAATAACAGATCTACAGACACACAAATATACACATATAGTGACTAGAGATACATAATGAATAAACAGAAACACACAAACGTTGATATAAACATTAAGAAGTGCTCGACGGCTCATTGAGCACAACAAGTCCCTGATTTTGAAGACAATGTAAACGTCGTTCGACTGCTTCACGATATTGTCGTAATATTGATCGATCACAATCAGTTGTTGCTTGTTGACTTAGACTATGAAATAAAACTTGGGCTTGAGTATATGGTCCAATACACTACGAAAAATAAAAAAAGAAATAACTAGGTTTTTAAAAACAAACAAAAATGAATTATTTTCTTACTTCTTGAGCTTTACCAAAAAATTCTAAACTAGCTGCATTTAAACAGAGATCGATTGCATGTAAGTAAAGCAATTTATCGGCTGTTAATGTAACACCTTTCATTTCATCGTGTGTTAATAATTCTTCTTGTGTACTTAATTGTTTACACATTATTAAACAATGTTTATATTTATTATTCAGATCACTAACAGCATTTCTATAAAAAAAAACCATGTGAAAAAAGTCTTCGTTAAAAAATTTGTATGTTAATCATTCGGAGAGAAAGATTAGAGGTGGTCACTACTATGCATATTTAAATAAGATTAACAAGATTCAAATGGTCTCGTCTGAAAGTTAAATATTTATTAGATTTCGTATTACATACTCATAATATCTGAGATGCAGAGGTCGAGAGAGAAAGCTATTGAAATTTATTTAAACTTTTATTCTTTTCTATTGTTATTAACATAAATACTAAAATTTATAATAAAAATTAAAAATAACTTAGTACCCGAAATCGCCAAGATAAGAAAAAGTAACTTAACAATGAAAAACATTATCTTATTTATTATAATAATACACTTAAAAATCCAAACATTTTTACAGAATCAAATTTTATTATCTATTTTATACACATCGAAAATAATTCCTTACCGAACATTAGCTGTTGAATGTAATTTTCCAGATTTGAGTGTATCACTAAAATGAAGAAAATATTAAAGTGTAAGGAAAAACAAATTTGAAACAGTATAATTTACTTACCGAGCAAGACACATAGCTGAACTAAGAAAATGCATTGCTTTAACATAAAGTGTTAATTGTTCAGCACGTTTATATAAATTATCAACATGACTAAGACGATCCATTTTAGGTCGTGGTAAATTATTATTATTGTTCTTATTATTTAAACTTAATGATTCTGTTAATAAACTTGTACGTGAAGTAGCTAAATTTAATATATATTCAACTAATTGAAGAATAAATTCAAGTTTATTTAATGTATCATGATGCTCATTCTGCAAGGATTAAGAAAACAAAATAAATAAAATTTATTTTTCTGTTCGCAAAAAAACTGTCTACATACATCCATTAATGCATCATCTGTAATTTTTTGTGGTTCATAATAACGACCTTCAGGTTGTGTATCACCAAACATAGAAGTTACACGTTGACGACGAATTTGTCCTGCTGTTGTTTGTTGATCGATATTTGTTGTAAAAAATCCAGTATTATTTTCTTGTTCAAAGAATCGATCATGTGGAACTGACAAGAAATATTTCAATGAATATAATGCAAAAAAAAAATCAATGAATAGTTACTATCGATATCAGTTAATTTTTGTCGTGATTTAAGTGGTGATGTATCAATAACTAATTTTGAATTTTGTTGTTGTACAAGACTTGAATTTGATGCTGATTGTTGAATTGTTTGTGATGGTGGTGGTGTTGTATCTTAAATTAGAAAAAAAAGGTTTTTAATTTTAATTATATTGAAATATAAATTACTTGTTCGACGTGTTGATGGTACTAAACTAAATGGATTTGCTGATACAATTGTAGTATCAACAGTAAATCGTACAGCAGGTGGACTAATTGAATTAGCTAAATCCGAACTCGATGACACAATACTTGCTTGACGAAGACGATCTAATGATGCTCGACGATCTAATTAAGATTAAAAAAAACTTAAAGAAACTTATTATGAAAATTTTAATTAGATATACCATCATATGGACTACTATTTGGACTACCAGCTGATGCAGCACCAACACTTTTCGTACGATCTCTTGATTCTTGCATTTTTTCATAATTATGAATTTGTGATGGAACTGGTATTGGTTGAGTAATATTGGAAGCCCGAGTATCTTTTACTGTAGTTGTATTTTCAATAGCCATTAATGCGAGATTATCTGGACGTTGTGATGATATTTCCTTTGAACATCTGTAAAAAATAAAAAGAATATTTATTTTATATATTTTTTTTATAACAAAATAACTTACAAAACTCCTTCAGATAATGTACGATGTTGTTCTTTTATAAGACGTTTTTCTCTTGAAAGTTGAGCAAATGATGTATGATTACCTAAAAGAAACAACACATACATATATATATTATAATAAATTATTTTCAAATAGTTTCGAACCTGTCGGAAGACTTTTTTCAATAGTAATATGTTCAGGTATAAATACAAAATCATCTGGTTTTGTTGATACTGGTATTAATGGATTTGATGTAATTTTAGCTATTGATTTATTTGTATTTATTATTGGAACAGGATTATTTACAGGATTTGGTGATGGTGAACGACGCTTATTATTTGTTGATTGTGTTGGTGTTGGCAATGTAATTGGTACAACATCTGGTTCATATTCAGGAATTGGATCAATCTGACGGCTAAATTGCCGAGGAATCGTTAAATCCTTATTGAGAAAAAAGAAATAATAAAATTTTTGTTTTTCTTCAAGAAAGTATCCCTATAAAACTTACGAAATCTTGTCCTTGAGATAAAATTCCTTCACGTAATGGTGATGAACTAATAATACTCATACTTGATGCTTGTGTTCGTCCTGATGATATTGGTACAGGCTGACCTAATTTAAATTATTTGAATAAATAAATAAATAAATAAATTTATTTTATTTTTTCTTTGTATTTACTTTTTATTAAAAATGGATG